GATCTCAATTATCTTGTCAACTTTTTGAGATATCCGGCGAACAAAAAGCTCGGACGCAAACGCGAACGACGCCATACGCACATTGCAATTTTACACATTTTTCATAGTAAAAAACATGTTTTTGGGGGCAAATAGGTCTTGATCGATAGGATTTGATCTCATCTACATTGCCTAGTGTACAGGTATGTGCTTTTTGAAGTTTGGCGCGACGTTATAGTGGCCGAAAGAGGAGATGTCATGAAATTTTGGCTAGTAAAACTAGGGTTTACAAACGTTTCGACAAATACCGCAAACGGTGTTATAAAAACGTTATTTTTCCGTAGTGTTTTTTTGACAGTCCAAAATACCGCAGAAATAACGATAAAAAACGAAAAATACGTTTTTTGGGCGTTATATAACGGCTCTGTAAAAAAACGTTTTTGGGAAACACTGAAAAAAATAACGCGTTTTTAAACCCTAAGTAAAACCAATAATTTACCTAACAAACAAAATTTGCAGAAAAGTAAAAAATGTTGGTCTTCTCAAATCGTACAACTTTGCAAAAGTAACATAAATATCGTATATCAGTTGAAATAAACAAATTATTTGAAGATTTACTCTACGCTTGAGAACATACTCTACATTTTCCAATACAATAAGTCTGTGAAACCACTCTCAATCTCACCCATAGATTTATTTTCACAGAACAAGATATTGATTTGATCTTTTTCATTGATCGATGATATTCTTCAGGTTACATGGATGTCGTTGCAAAGCTCATCGAGAAAGGAGCCAATATTGATGCTATAGACGATCTTAAGCGGACACCTCTTCATCTTGCTGCTATGAATGGTAATTTAAAATATTTATTTTCACTGAACAAGAAATTGATTTAATCTATCTCATTGGCCGATATTATCCTCTAGACAACTTAAATATCGTTGAACTTCTTGTCGACAATGGAGCCAGTGTTACTGCTAGGGACTATCGTGATCGGACACCCGGACAGATAGCTTCTGATCTTTGTAAATTTCATCATTTAGAAAAATGTGATTTATACTATATCACTAATCGATATTATTTTTCAGATAACAAGGAGGTGGCGGAATATCTTTTTATTGAATCATTGGACGGAAACTCAAAACTTTGCTGAAGTGAAATTTTTATTCTTTTCTTTGATTTTTCGTCTAACAAATAAAGGTTGAGAATTGGAAAAAAAAACTTTGCTATATTCGCTGAATTCTGAGTAAATGTCGAATAACCTCAAAGTCACTTCCCTTTTTTAGCACTACATGGAATGTAGGCTACTGTAGTTGTTTTTTTTCCTAAGAAAATTTTAAGAGTCTTTGGGCCAATTTTTTATCTATATTTTTTTATTTTAAATGAAGCCATTACGCCTAATTGCAAAAATGAAATAAAATCATGTTCATGTAATTCACTTTTGAAATAACTCAAAAAAAAAATTTACACTCTTTTCGTTACCAATGTGAAATAATGTACAATGATCATTCACATTGAATGTACATAAAACACATAAGTGAAGAATACAATATCATCATATAAATTTATTTAATTATTTTTGACAAAATTAGAATGATTCATAACCAAAACTTGTGAAACAGACATTTCCAACATCACCCCGTCAAATTAGTCGTCTTCAGAAAATATTACGTTCAGATCAAACATAATAATAATTGATAACTTTTTTAAATAACTTTCAATAATTAAACAAAAAGCATACTACGATTAACCCTTTGACGACCTTTGGGACACATATGTCCCATTTTGTTTTTCGTCAATAATTTTCACATTTTTAAACCGATTTCGATAAAATTGGTTTCTATTGAAAGAGAATGAATGTAGCTACCAGAAAGTACCATAATATTGGATATTTATCATCACTGCGCTCAAATAGAACACTTCAAAGTAAAAAAATCTTGACTTTTTTTTCAAGTTGCGCCAAACCCTATATAATTTGAACGGTGCAATTTTTAAAGCTAAAAATTTGAAATGTTGTGCGGAATGTCCGTTTCTTTCTAAAAATAATCGACTTTTCTCCAAAAAAATATTTTTTTAAATTTTTATTGCTTTTGGCGCGATGGGACATATGTGTCCCATTGGTCGGTAAAGGTAACTAATTACCACTGGTTTGCCTGTATTTTGACCATTATTCGCGAATTTTCAAAAACCAAAATTTACAAAAATATCATCAAATTCGTGATTAAATGGGCACAACAAAGCACAATTCAAACCATTTTCGGTTCCAAACAATTCTGAACATCTTAAAAACGAAAAAGATTTTACACGTAGTTCTTATGGGAGACATATTTTCTTCCATACAAAGGTAGTTACCGTTACCGACCAATGGGACACATATGTCCCATCATTTTTTTCATATTTTCAGTTGAAAAAATTAATTTTTGATAACACTTTTACTAAGGTTATTGGGGTCGCTGAGCACGAATCTGCTATCAGAATTGCAAAATTCCAAGCCGTTCAGTTTTGGTCGTCAAAGGTTAAAGCAATTTCTTGTTCAAACAGTTCATAGTAGAATTTGCGGTCGATTGTAGTTGGATGATATTTGGAGGTTTCAACTATTTTAATTTCGTTTAAAGAATTTTGACTGATTTGAAGCCACTTCAAAGACGTTGCATTCTATACACAGACAGTCTTTCGATTGGAACATTGTTTTCAGCAAGTTGATTTAAGAATGCTTTGGCAATTGCTGGACGCATTATTGTAACGCGAATATACTTCAGATTTGTGAAGCGTCTACCCAATTGTTCTGTTTCATCACTGTTGTAGTCCAAATGCTCGCTTGAAATAAACACATCTCGGAAATCATCAAAAATGCTCCAAAAAGATAAACTTACTTCAAAATCTCCGGTCACTTTGAGATGCTGCAATTGTGGATTTAGGTTTATAAATTCAACTAGCCTACTTTCGCCTACTTTGATCCAATCCATAGAAATTCCTGAGAAAAACATCGACCAATTATGGGATTGTTTGTTGCAACCAGCCAACATTGTGACCATGTAGAAATCCTACTCTCAAACATTTCAAATTCGAAAACAGTCCAGAGCTAGAATCCATGGTATTGCATATACTTCCACACCAAAATATTTCGAGTGTTTCCAGAGCTTGGAATTGAAGTCGATGCAATACATTGAAGTCGATGTGGCGAAGCAAGATTTCTAGCTGAGTTGCAGATTTTCCACAATACTCAGCTAATATACGTAGATGGTTTTCATCATATCCTTGATCTTCTTTTCTTAAAAGCCAGTGAATAACTTGTTGACGTGTTGAGCGTTGAGTATATGTTTCGGTGACACCTGATCAGGTGGAATACTGAGCGCATTCAACTTATTATCTTCCATTTTAAATTTTGACTAGGAAAAGAAATTTTTTTTTAGTTGAAACTTCAATTTTAATTGAACTATTTAAAAGTTTTAAATAATACAACTAGTCTGTTTGATTGGAGATATGAAAACTACCTTCGTGAAAAAATAAATATGCATCAATAGGACTCAAACTGTTTTTTTTTCTATCAACAACTTTATTGTAAAATTTCAGAGAAAATGAAGCACGATCCTTAATATAATGGATGTGAACAGCACTAAGAATAGAGCAACACTGATTTACTTTTTCAAGTTCGGCCCATCTATATGGGATTGTTTATTTATTTATGCCATTTTATGCAGAATTCGTTTTTTTAAGAGAAGTTCCCATTTGTTATCTGCTCGTGAACTTTATTCGTACTTTAGCTTGGAAACTATCTTACTACTATTCTACTCAATATAATCTATATGTAGGGTAAGGTGAGGTGAATCGCCGCACTTTTTTTTCCAACAATCAAAACTCCAAAAAAATGCAATTATTTCCGGAAAGTCTAGTATCATTTTAAAGCTAGCCTTTTCACCCAACTTTTATAGAAGGACACTTTAAGATATGACCATCAGCGCGGTCAGATATAGCCATCGGCGCGGAACCCTGAATTTTGTGACATCAGAAAATGGTGGGGCGAATCTCCGCACCCCATGAGGTGCGTTTTATAAGTTTATCTTTGAGGAATTGTTTATTTTATGGATTAATTATCTTCAGACATTCGAATATAAAAAATTTCAACCATTCGTTGACTGATTTGAACGTTTCATGATTATCAAAAAATGAAAGTTAACTAGTACCTAAAAGTGATAAAACGTACCCATTAAATGTTAACTATTTTGACGTATATCAGTCAAAATTGGGTATTTTTGAGATCTAAAACTTTCTGTCGATAGGAATAGTGGCCATTTACATTGTTCCATTCACATATATGAGTTATATGCAGTTCTGAGTGGTTTATTTATTGGTCAATTATCGGTTCAGGGTGGGTAGCGGACATAAGTTCCCAAACGGACCGGTCCGTGGTCCGTGGTCCGTGGTCCGTCGGTCCGTGGACCGACATTAAGTTTC